TGAGAATGATCACCTTAATTAGAAAATCAGCGAAAAATATAATCATTGTGATGTTATTTGCATGATTTTCATGGAAAAGTGCACTAAGATTGAATGCCTTAAACCTATTGGTATATAATGGTAGTAGTGTTCGAAACCAAATCATTATTCACTACAACATGCTCAAAAAAAGTTGTTTTGCATTTTTGTTACTAACTTTGGTTATTGTTGCTAGCCATCCGCGGGAGTTTCTAGCAAACTTTGTTTCGGATATTTCTCGTTTCGAGTCTCCAACACTTCTTCCTCTTCGTAGCGAATCACCTCCAATAGCACCGTAAGACCATCCGAAATCTTCACTTTGAAATAAGTAAAGAAATTATATTTTCTTTGTTTTTTTGTATAGGCTTTCCGAATCTACGATCATTACCCATGGGATAAAAAAAAGGATATATTCACTGCGAAACGCGTTAATGCTGACCGATTTAACACATTTCGCAGCATTTCCCATAGCGAGAAACGTATACAACCCCTTTTTCCACTTACTCAAAACGCGTTTCGGAGCCACAATTCCAGGATGAAAGCGAAAAGTATATCGTCTCGCGGCGTTTTTAACTGATTTAGCAGCTGCGAAACGCGTTAAACCGGTCAGCATTAACGCGTTTCGCAGCATTTAAAAGTAACGAAATTGTTCCCATGGGTACAACTACTCCTACAGAAGAACCCGTAACAGAAAACTCAGTGAGCAGCGAAAGCTCTGCTAGAATTCATTCCAGCGAGATAAATAGTCATGAAAGCTCAGCTAAATGTCTCTAATGAGAATAATAGCAGCATAAATGAAGACAAATAAATAGTCGCAGAACATGTTGATTACAACCGTTATGCTGAAAAATAATTTTCAATATCAGTGTATCTCATTTCAATTGACTGTAACTTCATGGTTTTATCTTAAATCTAAGTTGATAAATAAGAAGCTTCGACAAAAAATTCATCTTTTTTTCAAGAAGAAAGAACATTTATACATATTATGTTTCAGGCGATGAATATGCATATTTTAATCTATTGATGAGCATGCCTTTGTCGTTTTGTATTACTGGTTTCTAAGATAAATAGATATTTTCTCGTTAGTTAGTTTATAGTAAATAAAAGAATATAAGCACAACAAATGATATTTATGTAACCTTTTCTGCATCGCTGTATTCGCATTTTCGAGCCGTAGTACGATCAATTCTGAGTAAAGCTGATGACTTCTGCACATAATGATCTAGTTTAGAGTGAAATGAAAACTCGCAGTAATATTCATTATTTTCTTTGATTCTAATCAATTCTCAATCGAAAAAATCAATTTAATTAAGAAAATTTTTAAAATTCATTGAAAAAAGTCTGCTTTTCTATGTTTAGTGCCTTTATTTCAGGTGTTATCTTATAATTTAAGTCTATATTAGAGACTGGTTATGGAAAGAAGGGTATGGGTGTGGGCATCGAACACAACCAAAATTCACACGCGTACCCACCATTATACACATATGTTGTTAAAAAAAAAAGCATGATGACATCCAGAAATAAATGCAGAAAATCATTGCATTATCCTCATTTCTCTTGCATAGCGTGGAACGTAACATTGATGCGAGAACCTGTTACCTTCTTCTCTTTCGGCACTAAATGTTTCCAATACATGTTGTGTGCTATCTAGCATTACGATGAGTGACCTATTGCTCAGCGAAAATTCATACTGTAAAAGAGAAAGTAAAAGTAAAAACTGAGTTCAAGAAATAAGAAAGGTGCACAAAACCATAAGATGAACAGGAAATAAGAATTCAACTAAATTACTTCTTTCTTACTGGACATCGCTAAAGGCTTCCTCTTTCGTGTAAGGTCTTTACTGAAATAGCTGAGATGTCATACAAGAAATCTGAAAATAATACGTATTAGCAGCATGCACACAGAAAAACTTTGGATATGAAGGAGATAGCTAAAAGGAGCAGCAATGTATACCTGCGTGTGATACCCAATGAAATGGAAGCAATGATGTATTTTGCCTCGTTCTCAGCATGAAAATTGATGTAGTCATTTCCGTTCCCGTATAAATTGACTAAACAATCATCGACTTCCACGCCTACAGAAAAAATGCATTTATCATAGTCCTAATTTTGATTTTTCTTCTGTTTTTGTTGATTAAGATTTGTACTTATCGAGTTGCTTCTCCAGTTGAGCCTTCAACTTTCGCATCAAAACAGTTTAAATGTGTTGCTTCTGCTTCTGAAATAGCCTCTTTACGACCAATCCCTCTTCTGCTAACCACGATTGAAGATGAGGCTACAATGCCAATGTGAAAGTGGCAAGAATTTCAATAATTGCTCTCGCATTTTATTTCGGTTTCTTTTCCTTGCTGGTTGTTTATGTACCAGATTGACCGGTTTTCCATACATAGAAATAGAAGTATGCTCGAAATTCAACTCTGAAAATAAATAAAGGTCAGTAAAAGTGTTCACCTTCTTTGCTTTTTTTGTTTTGTATTAAGAAGTACGTTCCATCAAATGATCAAACAGAGCGTCATCCTCTTCCTTAAATATGTAATTAGGACATCATTTCAATGTTGACTGAATGTCTATCATTATTTCTTTCAACTTTGGTATCTTTTTGAATGTGAACCTAAATTTTAGTAATAAAGCAGAAGCCAATACCCAAATAGCTTTCTAGTTACAATTTATCGTTCCATACCAACTTTTTCTTAGTCGCAACTGCATCTTCGATTGAATCTTCATTCTTTGATGGAAATGTGCTTGTGGTCAAGTTCGTGTGTAATTTTCTCCTTCGGGTTCTTCGGTATCTCATCACTGTCTACTGCAGGCTCTTTCTCCGTTCGTTTTCTCGGCACTATGTTGATTTCATTACTCAAAGAGCATTGTTGTGATGAAG